CCGTGTCTGTCTCCACTGCAACTGAGGATGAAGGGGACTCTCCTGTATTCGTAACCCCAGGACATCTAGCATGTTTCGCCTGGTTCATATGATGCTCCGCTGATATCTCCGAAGAAACAGGAATTGATGTAGCCATGAATGGTGTAAGCATTCGTGGGGAAGAGTTGTCCACAGCAAAATGGTCGTCGCCTTTTCGACGATGCTTTCTAGCGGCAGGAGTAAGGATGCCCACAAATTATAAGTGCACAACAACTGGCCAGTCCACGCCACAACACTGGGCCGACTATCACTCTCAACTCGCAGTCGAGTTCTTTGTTGCAACGGGAAATTTCTTCACTTGGAGTCTGGTACTCAATTGAGTTGGGTGATCACTCGATTTCGACGACTCCGTTCATTTTTACAAGCTGTATTTGCGCTGAGCAGCGAGCTTATTGCTACAGTCTGGTCATCACTGGAGAATGACGTTGCTTGGCGGTCCTGTCCAGGGTGATCCGTATATGTTTGGCCCGCCCTGAGGTGGCCTGCTCAATGACGGCATTATACTGCGCCAAAGTAAAATAAACTTGTTGTAAACCAGAGAAGTAGATTTTATGAGGGCTCACCTGCACGCCAATGGTATTCCTTGATGTACTCGCGAAGATCTGAGGCGTTTTATTGCGCTCATATAACGCCGTCAAGGCCCATACGATGTAATGCCCTCCAGTGTCGTAGCTTTACCGCGAAACAAGAACGATGAGCTCTTGGACATAAGTTACGGACAAAAAGACGTACTAGAAATGATTCCGTCCAATCCTTGCCATAATTGTACCAGTTGCAACGGCAAAAATAGTCCTGCGTAATCTAGCAGAAGTAACAATTCGGTATGTTGACAACCAGAGTTTGTTAGCACATACAAGGCTTCAGTTGACACGTTACGCGTGATATACGCTAGAGTGACCAATCCTTCAACGAAGATCCCGGTACTGGGAGCGTCTACCCTTGGAGATGTCGTGCAAGAGCTATTTAAATGCCGACAATATATATTGCTTTACATCGCCGGACGGAGTGAGAAGATGCGACTGTACGAATTTGCTGACTCGACGGCAGCATCAAGATACGTCTGGTTAGATGTTACTTCTGCCAATAGAGCTGAAACGCTTTGTCATAGTCAGCTAAGTGTATACCCCATATCAGAGGAGATTACAGTGCTCACACAAGAAAAAATCTGGTCGTACAGAGTTAGCCAAGAATTCAAAAAATTAAAAAAGTACACGAACCCAGTAGCCATATTGGAGATGATTGGGTCAGTGGGACCAGTAATCTGGCGTGTTGATTAATTAACGAGATGTGGATGTAAAAAGTGATTCACGTAATAAGTGCCACCCGCCATCGTCGCTGTGAACCAGAATCAGTATACAGATCAGTTGTAGTAATTTGTGACACTCACCGCCTTGACACGAGGTTGAGAGATTGAATTCCTTAACATATGTGGTGCCCGAAGCAATTTGCTCCTGAGATAATGTGAATCGCCTCGCAGAAGTCCATGATATCACGGCCAGATCGAGGAAGTCTTGGTCTTGATAAATGGCGTAAGCCCGAGCCGCAGCGTATCCATAATTCCTACGGAACATGAGGAACAAACACACCGTCAGCAGAAGATATGACTCACAGCCCATATTCTATCTATTGTTGAGAATGACACCGTCAGTTATTCGGAAACTGCTCGCAGGAAACAGAACTAACACTGTATCAAGGTCGGTCAGCAGCGATCGAGAAGGTATAGTAAGAGCATACTGACAACTGATTCAAAAATTCAGACCTGACTGACTCTGCGAGTGCGAAACACTGTTTCAACGTTTGCTTGTACTTGGTTTGGTTTGTCAGTCTATCAAGTTCGGCCATTTGTGCGTAAAGCCTGCCAGCCGTTTCGTATGTGGTGTCTGAGGATACTTAAAATGAAAGCGCAATGCTGGAATTTGAGTAAAACCCACCGTTGAATTGCCCATTGGGCCGGAGCATGCTAACCGCTTGTTCTAGAGCAGCGCTTGCAATGCTAATGCGGTCGTCCTTAGACGACGTGATGTTAGGGTTCTAGTTCTTGTATTAGCATTTGCTATTGTCGACCAGAGAAGCGATACCCACTTTCCAATAAATCGATGGTGTGAAGTCTTGTGCAGCGCTCGACGCTATAAACAGTGCCACCAGCATCCGTACAAGAAGGAGAGACTGCATTTCTAGAGACTAGATATGTCTGTCTTGGACATTAATGGGAATGATGAGCGGAAGATGAGCGAGCTAGGAAGAAGATGGGAATCGAGGCACTAAATAACTTGGAGATCGGCCAGAGGCTATGTAAAACAAGGTGACAATGATATCAGACCCTGGTTACAGAGGACGAGGAAGGTGATATTTATTGTTGTTGATGTTCCAAGGAGGATTCTTGATTCTTACTCGAAAGTGGATTTGTGGTAATAAGAATTTAGTAGAGGGGCCTCCTTACTAGTGGTGCGCGATCGGATTTTGGAACGCTATGCTGAGCAGTAGAACACGGAAAACAGGTAAGATCGAATATTGTCGTTGAGTGCTCGCACAGAGCACATCAAGGTTGAGGTTGATGAGGCTAGTGGCCATCCAAGATGACATCAGGCTAGAAACGGAGATTAGAACAATACTTGAACAAAGCAGACACATACGCATGTATCATTGCATATAAATGACAGGTTGCATGGTCCAGGCAATGGGTTACCCTCGTGAGCGAATGGACTCACTGTATAAATGCCTGGTATCTCAGTAATCAGCACAGCACTGTGAGGAGAGGCTTACCTGGGGTGGGGGGCAGAAGATCATCTGGAACAGGGAAGGGCGATGGTATCATCAGGTAGGTCGCATTCAGGTATGTTCGAGTCCACCAGGATTACGGGCCGATGCAGCCGATACTCCTAGAGACTCGTAGATGACTGGCCCAAACGAGTGCTATCCGATAGAGTGGCACAAAATAGAAGGACACCAGAGGGAGGAAACGGGACGGGGACAAAGGTATACACGCATTAATACTTTACTTAGGAGTGATTCCAATGTGAACTGAGCAAACCTGCAAAAGAGTCCGGCAATCGATCCGGTGTATTTGCACCTGTTCGTTTTAAAGTTCTCCAGGGACCCACCAAACAACCCCGCGCCTTATAGTGAAAGCGTAATCGCCTTCGCAGAAGGCAGGAAGGCAGGAACCAAGGCCTGACTTCCATTTGTTTGATGCACGGTAAATGGATTCAAAACCACCTTATAGTCAATGTCGTGATCCTTTGAATGAACTCAAACCGTAGTAGTAGACGTGATGCCACGAAGATTATATATTCCGATTACGACTGAACAATCATAGTCTTCCAAAACGCCGACCCAAGAGCAATCCTCCCAAGCTCCCCATCATTTTCCAATGCGGTCCAGTTATTGAGGGTGTGGGTGTATAACTCACGAACACGATTTGCGCAGCGGGGTTTAGCAGTCTGGAGAATACGTCCGCCATGAGCGTCTCGCAGCCATCGTGTTCTTTCCAGTGGGAGACCATCGCACGATCATGGGGCCGGATCCATACTGCGGTTCCACGGTTCCTGAGTATGACGTCTGTGGATGGAAGCGAACCGCATCGGGAGATATTTTGCTGGCGAAGGTTAGCAGGAGAAAGAGAGAGAATAAGTAGAGTTCGAGCGAGTTCAGCTCTGATGCATTGATGCCCAGGGATTGTCGCTCTCAGCTCAGATTGAGATGGAGGTCAGTGTGGCGTTGGCGCCGTCGACCCATCCGAAGAAGTAACAAGGGAGGTGTGTGCTTTCCCGGTGAGGACGGGAGGGATAGTGTAGAAGTTGATGGAGCTCGCGAGGATGACGAGGATGGTTTCCGCAGTGAATATAACTTGGATGGAGTGGTCGTTCTGTGAGTGGAAGAGATGAATAAGGGTGGTTAGAACAGCTAGAGGACGCTTACCTAGATGTCACCTACGTTATCAAGGCGGGAGTTCTCGCCGGGCTTCCAGTTGTAAACGAGCATCCTGGAAATGTCTTCGATCTTCGGTGAGATATTATATGGATAGTGGGGGACCCACAGGAGCGAGCGTTAGTGTCGGTATATGGGAGGCTCTTGTGCCGGCCCAAGTCATGTTCTTGTAACATAGTGGCGGAAACAGAAAAGAACCGGCCCACGGTGATAAGCTTGACGACGCCCGTTGAGATGCTGCAGCACAATACATACACCCTTGTGCCACCTGAATCTCGCAACCATAAGGAATCCATAAAGAATTGAAGAAGATGCGAACAAAAAAGACGATTCCCGGGGAGGCGGGAATCTGCCCAGCGTGTGTGTTCGTGGTTGGCGAATGAATTTGGCGGGGCCTCGTGTAGGAATGCGATTTTCTGTGACATACATAAGTTAGCTGTTATTCATCAGACGAATGGGCGCTTACCCATCCAACGCCACGGTGATACTCGCTTCAGACTCTGGATCTCCTTGCCCCAGTAAATACCGCGACTTCTGTGATACGGCCAGTATCCACTTGTATTGGCTCCTCGGGACGAATTTGATCCGAGATGCAGGCGATTCAGCGAAGCTCGTCTCGCTCGCATCAGAGAAGTAGCCGAGTCGGCAGGCGTGACGTGTATGCCGGTGAGATCGGTGTTATTGAGGGAATACGGGAAACCATTGGAAAGGATGTCGAGTCTGAAAGCGTTTGTCCATATGTCGTATAATCATCTGAGTACGTGGAACTGTTTACACACCTGTAATCTCAGTAACAACCACTGTACAGAGCAGAGAGTCTCACCTGGCGGAAGAGAGGGATACCATGACAGGGAAAGAAAGCATCATCAAGAAAGTCGTACTCTTGGACGTTCGAGTCCAGCAGGATTAACCTTCCAGTTGTGAATCAGCATATGCCAGACATCGTCGCTGAATGCCATGAAATCACCAGTGAGGTTGACAGGGAGAAGATATACATCGATGGAACAAATCTCGTGCGACGTCCCATTGTCATCCATGCGCAGCAGTGTAACTCTTCGTGACCTGTCCCAGTCAGTCGTCGTTCGTTCATCATATCAATAGGCGCTTACCCATACAACCACCACTGCTACGCTTGTCTCTGATTCTGAATCCGTGTTAAGCTTCAGCCCAGTGAATATCGCGCCTTTCAGTGACCACGGGCAGCACCTGTGCACACGCTCGAAATCCTAGATCGTCAAGGGGCCGACCAGATCCCTTTGGATACGGTCAATACCTACTCTTGTGCCGCCATGGGACGAAATTGATCTCGGTTGTAGACAACCCGGTGAATGGCATCTCGCTTTTCGGGGATAAACAAGGACGTGCGAGTCATCGAGACGCGATTTGGTAAGCACACCGTGTGCGCTGTTCGAGACCGGAATCATCGGTGGAATATGGGAAACCATTGCAGAAGATGTCGAGTCCGAATGCATCTGCCCATATGATGGGTCCGGTAACCTTGTGAGCGCATGGAACTGTTAGATGTCTGTAATCTCAGTAACCAGCGCTATATAGTTGGAGAATTCTCACCTAGAGAGAATAAGGATATCAAGCACAGAGAAGAAGATGATAGTTTAGATGAATGGGTTGTCAGGCAAGTTCTAGAGCATGTTATTCATGGACGTTCGAGTCTAAGGTAAACTACGGGCCGAGTACACCGGTGACTAAGCAGCTTGGATTCCCACGGCCTTCTCCTCCGATCTAGCACGCCAAAGGAAGAGCGAACAGTCAGCACTACGATTACTGCATTTTCGAGATCAATATCGTCCATGAGTTTTCCCCCACTGACTCTTCTGAGTAAGGGAACCTCGGCATCGTAGGCACACCCCTCACTTTCTAGATGGATTACAAGTCTGACCACAAACATTTCTCGCAGCTGCCCAAATGACTATACCCTCTTGGTGGACTACTAGCCACTCTGAAGTCGAAAGGGAAATGTAATATTCCATAAATACTTATGCTTCTATAATTAGTATCTTGATTTTGTCCTTATTGCAGCTATTGCTATCACCTGGTTCGCACTCGCCTCTGGATACACAGGACATCAACACGGCCCCGGTGTCCTCGGCTTCGTCCTTGGGTGCTCGTAGTATCGGGCGTGTCCCCGGAGGCTATACAACACTGCCAAAGGTTACCTACGACACGGACTTTCCTCCATTCTAGCCTGGTCACGAACCTATCTTGCTTTAGAGATCTCCCTACCCGTTTCACTTCGGAACGGCGTGATAATACACCTCTACTTTGCAGAAGGATGCTTACTGTGTAATTTGGCTGCGACAGCTGACCTTGACCAACATAAATAAAGCCTTTTCACCCTACCATGACGACATGTATGCTTTTCACTGTTATATATCAAAACAAAGCTGACTGCTGTTGACTTGGTAGTATTATTGCGAACCACCGCGACACCAGAATTTGTGTCAAAGCACATGCTATCCTCAGTGCCGCTTCTCTTACTTTGGGACGTCATGCCAACTTTTGTTGTAGGATCGACGTACGGAGGTGCTACCGTTCCGGCCAAGGTAGGATGCTCGCTCGTTGTGACTTCAATCAGATCCAAGTGTCATCGAAGACTTTCTTGCTCGGCTTCTGATGCGTGATTTGCACCTATCGTCACGACTATAATAACAAGCATTTCGACCACAGTATTTGCCTGTAAACCCGCTCTCCAGTTCCGATAGAAGAAATCGTTCGGTCCTTCAACTTCGTGAGGCCGGGCTTTTTATTGGGCAGCATCTGAGTAAAGTACACGTGATATTTGAGGAGACATACCGTAAGTACTATCCCATCTCCTTAACTCGTCTTATTGATCATTCTGTGGACTTTGCGGATAGGTTCGTTCTTTACGGAGCAGCAGTGACCACGTATCCGTTACTCATACTCGCCGCAGTACACTTAATAAGCAAGACGCCCATCAGAAGCTAGCGGTCTGAAAAGTATGTCTTCCTCGCATGCCGCCGTCGCCTACTCATATATCAATAGTACAACAACAGCATACCGTCCGTTTTTCAGTTCGACTTCAATTCCAATTTTTCAAGCATACTCTCGCAAAGTTATAAAACCGCTGAAGAGCTTGGAACGGCACTTGCGTTTCTCTGTCTTGCGTCGGTATTCATGAATCCAAACACGGATGCGGTTATACTCGGCGTGACGAAGGCCGGATGAGTGGTGGCAAATATGAAGGCTTTGGAGGTGCTCCGAAACTTGGCCGACGGTGTGCTGACGAGAATCAGAGTGGAGCTCTCAAATAATCCGGTACTATTGGGTTTTGTTTTTCTCTTTTGATAGACCCAGCATGCGCTGACACAGTTCACATAGCCCGTGTACGATTATCCTCTGAATGTTTTGGTAAAGGGTAGGTCACTTGGAAACACCGAATAAGTTTGTTGAGCAGGTGTGGTCCTTCTTCTGTTTCTCGCATTGAATTGACGTTTCATCAGAATTGTTTGAATTTTTGACACCCATGATATACGTCGTAAACATGAGGATAACCGATAGTTAAAGTGATGTTGTTCGTCTCATGAATAAGGTATGAGGCACCGTTATGATGGTGATATCTCCGGTACAGTGCCTAGTATTGAATCTCTGTAGACGCACAACGCTTTCTACGTAGACCGTCCTTCTTTACATTCGGCGGTAGTTCGTCCTCCGGGACATTCCATCGGCCCGGCTGCAGTCGTTCATTGAGCAGCCTCACCGGTTCCTCCATCAGCAGATTCTCCCTACTCTCCGCGTGCCATGGATTTGGCAGATGAAGTGGAAGTGGTCGACTCGGTCTGTACATCCGTTCTTCTCCGCGTCGAGTCTGTCACCACTGCTCCCGAAGATGAAACGGACTCTACTGCTGCCAACGAGTGGATGCTGAAATAAAGCTACCATCGTTACCTTGCTCTGCAGATGAAAATCTGTCGTCTCGAAGCAAAAATTAGTGAGCTAGCAACACAGCATAGTACTCACCATCATCTTAGCAATTCCCCGAGTTCGATTACTGTGGATATGACGGTCATTCCCTGCTTTGTATTGTAAACACGATAATATCACGAACACTCAAAAACAAATGAAAAGAACTTTCAAAGTTGTTTCTTCAACAATCGGCGGATAGTGCGGAGATGGGGCATTCCGAAATTGCGGGTATTCGTGGTCACCGTATTGAAATTATTCTTATTTCCCGTTTTTTTTTTAGTATCCTGTCAGATAACGGCTTGTGTAGTTTGGATTGGGCTTCTCGGTCCCGGGTTCTACGTGAGTTCGGCTTAGATGCCTCTAGATCTCATGTAGTGGTCACCTACTCAGCATACCTTCTGGTTCTCGGTTTGACCTCAATTCAGAAATTTCGAGGATAAGGCTCGCTAGCCTCAGTTAGGGATTTCTCCATGATCGCTGAAGAACTCGGAACGACTATTGTGTCTCTCCTTCTTGTGTGAGTAGCTAGCAATCTGACCCACATGGGTGCAATTATACTTACTCGGCTAGTGAACTAGCGGGTGAGGGCCAGCTCATACGGTGGCAAAACCGAGTCCTATTCTTGTCACTCCTATCTGGATAGTCATTCAGTAATAGAAGCACAGTTTAGTTAGGCCCCGTGAAGCTAAGTCACATTCATTAATATTAAACCCTTTACCTCTCTCTGAATTCCACGGTTAGGTTATGCCAGGTAATTGTATTTTCTAGAACAGGACCCAAATGAATTTTTTGCACAAAGGTAAATCTACCAGGGACGACAACATGAACAAGCAAGAACAAGGGCCTACATCATAATGCTCATTTCTCCTCTCCCCAATGGCACACAAGCAACAGCGGCAGATATGACACTATAGGCTCCCACCGTGAAGGTACCCTATGCTGTAAACTCGGCTCTGGATGGCTTAGGCATCATGCCCACCCTCAACCTTTCCCTCACATCGCAGATAGAGAATCAGAGGCTTATACTACTCCCGGAACGATGCTGATAGGTACATATATGGCCATGTATCTCTCTACACGATGCCAAGGGCTTCAGGGAACGTGTATTGGGTATGGACTCATCCCATACATTAAGGCAAACAACATTCCCTGGCTGTACCAGTGGGTTCTGTCTTGGCAGTGACTGGCCATCAATGTTCAGAAATGAGTGCTGTGTAAACATGGAGCAATACTTTAGACCAGACTTCACCAATGCCATGGATTTAATTAAGGGTGGTCGGAGAGGAGTAATGAAGAGGATTGGAAGTGCTACAGCAGACAATATTAGTATATAAAATATGTGTAGTAGAGGGAATGGGCGGATGTGCTCATAGAGTATGGATGAGACCAAATTCCAGGCTTCCAGCATGATCGTTGATAATGTATTGACTCAAAACAAAGTCGGGTAGAGCATTTTTCAATCCGGCTGTCCTTGGTTATTCAGTGCGAATATGGCAAGAAAATGATAGTACCCTTACCCAGCCATGGCATCTGACCAGTGAGTCCCTACAGCCAATATTGTTTACAAACCCAATGCGTTGCACAAAAGGTATTGTAAACAAGGTTGTGGGATGTGATTGTACACAATCATGATTCTGTTTGTAAACAGCCACAAAACCTTTTCGGTCCACCACACCAGCTGCTTTGCCAGTGTCATGTGACCTTATTATTCACTGGCAGAATTTTTGGCCCTGCTTTCTTTCAAACCCTGCCTCTCTTGTCATTGTCACCCTCACGCCCACCATGCCCCCTCCTCACAAGCTATAACCTCATAATTCTGGTATGTTGTGTTCCTGGCATCCCGTCCCACCAGGTTAATCCCCTGTGCAAATCCTGATCATCAAAAATCAGTCTATCAGTGCCTGCATCCTTCACCTCTCAAAAGTACCTCCCTCCCATTCCTTGACAGTGCCACTTATTTTGCTTTTCGCTGACATGTGGAGGGACATACCAGCTTTCCAGTACCCAGTTCTTTCCTGGCTTGCTCTTCATACCATGCTTCATATCCTATGCCCTGGTACCCTCTTGACAGGGTCTCTTTCATTTGTTCCTCCCTCCTGTTCCTTGATGGTGCCACTTATTTCACTTCTTGCTGACATATGGAGGGACATACCAGATTTTTGGTGCCTGGTTCTTTCCTCTTTGTACCACACTTCATATCCTACCTCTGGTACCCTCTCGACAGGATCTCTCTCATTTGTTTTTCATTATTCCTGAAATACCCTCCAGAAACATATCACCCTCAGACTATCCTTGGGAAAGGGTACCCATTCATGTCAGTTTCAGGCATCCCAAGTGCTACTTATCTGTCACAGCACTACATCATTCCCTCCCCATCCATGCAAATTTTCATTTTTTGACATATCTAGAAATTTCTTCCAGCCCTCCTCTTCTGCCTGGAATCGAGCGACTCGTTGTCTCCAGTAAGACAGAAATGTGGTTGTAAACGGGCTGTGGTTGTAAATGGGTTGTGGTTGTAAATGGAGTGTGTGGTTGTAAATGGAATTGTGATTGTTCATTGTACAATGGGTTGTGAGTGTTTATTACAGTCATGACAGTACATTTCTGATGCTATTTCTAGTCCTTTATCTACTCATCATGTATCCTCCCCTGCTTTCTTTCTCCCTACCTCTCATCCTTCACCTAGGTTCATTCTATTTTGTCTTTGACATGCGCTTGCTCAATGGTTGTTTACTAGCAGATCAATGTTGCTCTTGAGAGTTCCTGAACACCAGTATGTTCATTAATTAACATTCTCAGCCTGACCTGACCAAAACCACAGATGTCGCCATGAAATTGTTCACTGCCCTCTTTTGATTCCTCAGTTGTTTACCTCCTCACTCCCTAGAGACTGTTGATGTGCTTGGTAACGGGCAGCACACAAATGAAACAAGCATCTAGATCGTCAATCTAGATACTAAATCACACACACACACACACTATCACCAATGTATATAAGTTCAAGGGTGAGTACGATAGAAGCACTCGTGATGTACTTAGATTTAGATAATCTAGTGGGGTTTTGTCTGAAAACAACTTCAATTCTTCTTTCGATGTGTTTTACACAAAGTACACTAGTCTGCGATAGCGGGGTTTTATGAACTTGTTTTGCAAGGTATAGTCGAGCAAGTTATACTCATTTTGACGTCGTCTAGAAGAGCTTCTAGCGGACATTTCAAATAATCAAACAACCAAAGACTCCGAGGTCTACAAAGAGTGCAAAATCACTCTACAAAGAACGCTCAGGTTCTGACTTCAAGTACAAGACTTGCAAAGAGTACACAGACTCTGGAGTTCCTTGAACTCGACGATTGTTCAAACTTAAAGTGTTCTAGGGCTTATTTTACTTCAACTAGATGAGGTCTTTTGACTTAAAGTCGACTCAGCACGTCTAGATCGCTAATCTCGGAGAGAGAGAGCACGAGGCCTTTGTCCATGGAGCAGTTCAATTAACTAGCAAGGCGCAAACATGGGGACGGCTCTACTTCCTACTTAACTCTTCTAGATTACTGTAGTCACCCTTATGGGTTGACTTTGGTAATTTAATTCACTTCAGTCGAGGATATGCAATAAAACCAGTGATTGATTAGGTAGCTATACAGGCTACTAGCACATATGTGGGGGAATGCTTTCCTGCCATTATGCATCTAGTCGCTGCTAATTTATACGATTCGTGTTCTAGGTATAGGAGCCCATATCTACAGTAATTATGGTACGAGCTTTGGAATTAATACAAACGGTGAGTCACTATCCTACAAGTATCGTGCCATTCCATAGTTTCTATTCAGTTTGACGCAACTGCACCGGGTTATTCTGTTGCCGAGGAGTGCCCTACTGGTCCATGGGTGCTCCTTCTTCCATCTGCAAGGCTTGCCGCATGCGGTATGTATTGAATACTGTGGTCTGCACAGGATCTCGAGGATGTAACCACCGATTGCGATCAGCTGCAGGTCCGAGATTATATTCTGTTGATCACTGCGCGATCAAGGTCGGTCATCTCGGTACCCAATGTGGCTATTCATTCTTCCAAGGTTATTCCTTTCCTAGCCTGAGTTGATCTCGAAAGCTGATCTGTTTCTCGACTTAGCAATTTTTCTTGACAGGTTCTTTCTACTCGTCAAGGCGACAAGGCATCTAGTTCATTCCATTCTTCAACTTCTTGGTTTTTATATTCCATACAGACGAGTCCCCAAGATTTGACTGTAATAGTCTTGTTTAGGTAGGGCTTAGCTTGGCGTGTTGATGGCTGGTAGAATTGACTCTTCGAGATGTCGTTTCTAAGTCCGTTCTGTACTGCCATGCTCTCATTCTTTATGTAGAATTTAGCTACCAGCACAAAGCCTCCACTGTAGCTCTCTGTACTGCTTGTAGATTGCATAAACTGATGTAAAATCGCAAAATCTACGGGTAGCCTGATACCAGGCATATCAACGGTGTCAGTCCATGTTTCCTGCCCTTGGAAGTGGAAGCGATGGTGACTCGATGAGATTAAGTAATGACTGTGTTAGTCCACCTGAGAGTCTGCTGCTTGTTGTAAAAGAACCACACCATGGACTGATACAACACAAATTAATTGTCATTGTTCAGAACGAGTTGGGAGAACACTGTTTAAAAGTGGCATTTGATGTACATTTTCTTTCTGCGCCAGAGCTTTTGCTTGCTCCTCACTTGATAGACCAGCAGGTGGGGGAAATACTTTGAAACATTCCTCATGTACCTTTGGCCAGAAGTCAATGAAATTCCCTGCTGCCTGGAATTGCTTGAACTGTTCATAAAATGGCTTGGTCACTTTTTTCTCAGCATCTGACAAAACCATCTGTTTTCCTGATCAGCATCCAGATCTGATTTTTGTGACAAGGAAATCACCGACCTTTGATACCCACAAAATATACTTTGACATGGGTAACCTATATTGGTACCATAGCATAAAATTTTGATGATCGGACAGAGCCATGATTTCTCGCATTTTTTCAAGCAACTGTACAGTTGCTTCCAGGCAGTATTTAATCCCAGCTAGCACTCCAAAACCATCAAAAAATGGCCACCATCACAAGCATTGATTCAGCATCCCTTGAGAAACTCAAAGCCCTTGTTAGTCTCTGCCTCAAGCAACTCGAGCAACTCGTTGGTAAGCACCATGTGCAAATGTTATGCAGCTATCAAATTGATCTCAGATTTTAGATCCTGCAGTGCTGTCAATGGCATCAGGTAAGCTTTCCTCCTCAATTCTGATCCTGCACTCGTAACCCTTGATTTAGGATCCTGCAATGCCACCACCCTGGTTCCTGTTGCTGATGGGGGGGCTCAAGAACTTGGTACTGCTCAATTTTCCTCGTTGTCATTCTTGACTAACTTTTTTCATGACAGAAGGCTTAGTTCTCCCCCCAGGAGCTCATACCACTGTTCCCTCAGAGCTGTTGGTAGCTAGCACTGATGTGAGTCTGGGATCTGTCCGCCCCCCCACTTTTAACTGTCAGATCTGTGGTGCCATCAACAATCTGCCTCCTCACGAGCCTTACCCCTACTATGCCATCACCAAGAGCCTTGCTGTGGGAGTTATTTGTGGGGTGTGAGTTCTGTAATTCTGTAGTCCAAACACATAACTGATGTTTCCTTGCTAGTTCCAATGTTTTGCCATTGACTTTGAAGATCTCCAGCTCATTGTTCACTTGGGGTCTGGGTGAGCAGGCAGCTATCACTCAGTTCAACAAGGCCCTCACTCTGAGAATGGTTAAGGTCTTAGCACTGTCTCAGAAGTAGTATTTAGTCATATTGCTTGTACTGTCTAAAAAAAAATTATCATGCATGTTATTTTGTCCTTCCGATTCAGTCAAGATCAGGTTATGATATCTCTGCAGAACCAATTTAAGGACTGTTGAAATCCTGTGTAGGTAAATTTGCGATAGATTTGGTAGATTTGAAATATGGCAACTAAAATAATTGGCTTCGATAAAATGAATCTCTACTACATTTGATACATCAGTTGACACGTGCAGTGAAGCTTGATTAACTCCTTGGGGTCATTCATCACTTCAATCTCGAGTTCAGTGATCCAGCCTCCTACCGTAGTCACCTCAGCCACTAAACTATCAGCCTTCTGGTAATTCACACCGTAACCATCGATATTCAGAATAGTCTCTGCACAGTGCATTGTGTGTGTGCTCAGCACCTCCATCTCATCCACACGAGGCTTGAAGACACTGTCTTCATTGTTGTTGTATGTCCTGTCCCAACTGAACAAGAAACAAAACTCCTGGTAGACGCATTCAACATATTGTGCCTTGGGACAATCATATGATTGGACATTGTTTAGATCCCACATGCCAGTGTTTCTCTCTGCCAGAATTTGCCTGTTGAGGAGTGTCACCAACCATCCCTCCAGGGTGCTACTGTGATGCAACCAGAATGGAAGATTTCCTGATCTAGGATGGACAGTCATGGATTCCTGCTGGCAAGCAGGAGGGTCTTTCAGATGTTTCTTGTGAAGAGGCTGAGGCATGGTAGACTTGTTGTTGGAGTCAGCTGACAACTTGGCTAGCCTCACTACACAACACCACTCAAGGATGACTTCGCGATTTCTGAGCCAGATGCTAGCTTCCAATGGTCTCTGCAAGCTTTTACTTACTTTTGGTAGCTCTGGGCACTGTTATGTGCATGGGCATGTTTTTGTTCATTCGTCCTCTCTTTGGGTGGTTGCCCCCTAGTATCCAGTCCATAAGAGTGAACTTTACAGAGCTTTTAGATTAACATACAGTTTTTTGGTTCCTTGATACTTCTCTGCAAGGCTCACTAGAATTCATTCCCAGTTCCTGCGGTGTACCACTTGAAAATGAAGAAAAAAAAACACAGGAAAGGTTCACGCAGCTTACCTGGAGTAGTATGCATGGCTTTTGGCTCAATTCTGTAGAGTCCTAGCATCAGGCAAGGTCTCGTGGAGAGTTTCAGGGGACACCATGAATGCTGCAGAGAAGATGATACCTGCCTAACTCGTCAGCACTGCAACAGTCTGACTCCCCCTTTTTTTCTTACCAGCCTTGTTAATTGCCCATGCCCACTTCCCCAGGACTGGAGAGTATGGCTTAAGTTAAATGTCCTAGATGCCAAGATGAATTAGCTGAGCTTTATCGGCAAGCAATCAGCTGTTTGAGACCAGCCCTACATACCCTCAGTCTAACTGGTGATCCATACTCAGCTAATCTAAACTAGAAAGCTACAAGATCAGTACGGTGTTCATCTGACTTTTCTTACCAAGTGTGATATCAGCAGCTCCTTCATGAATTCTTCCTCTACCGAATAACACTCATTGAGACAACCAGACAACCTTGCTTAAATATTGAAGAGGATGACAAGAGTTAAGCAGAACAATGTCAGGCAGTACTGTTCAATGGATAGTCTGACATTTCGACCTGGACCGTTGTCTGATTTTTCTTACCTACTGTGTTCTGTGGCACTCCTCCTGAATCTGCTCCCATCACGAAAGCAGTATACCTGACTAGGTCTGAGAAAGTCAGCGAAACCATCAATGTCGACAAAGACTAGACTGAGTCGAAGTGCATTGGGACTTATGTTCAACTTTTCTATCTGGACTGACATCTGACTTATGAAGCTTGCCAAACATAACCATATAGTGAGGCTCAGAATTCTCAGACAAGCTCTTTTACTGACATGACACAATATAACTGACTAGGTTTTACTCTATGAATCAGTCGCATCCCGTCCTGATCAATCCCTGGCTGTGCATTCCTTCCACCAACATATAGAAGTGAATTGCCTGCCAGACAAGCATATCATCAGCAAGTATCTGAGCATAGTTGGATTGAGTGTGCTTACAACACAGTGCTCCATCCCTGTGAGTCTCAAGTCCTCCTCTGTAGTCCACTCTGTCCAATTACAAACAGGATATATATCCTTGAACTAGCAATATACAAAAGCCCAGAACCGATGAAGAGTTCCATCATTGCAGTAGCACTGGGCCTGGAGCATGTTGGGCACCAAGTTGTTCATCAGCTGCATCTGGGATCATGTGAAGGAGTCAAACATCTGGAAGGACCAGTCAGCAAAGGTGAACGTTCCCAAGATAACTGGAACTGAGTTGACGACCTACCCATTCCATATGAAGATCCCATCCATCGTTCACCACACCAGGTGTGCTCATCTCATGATGTGGAGGTGGAGCATTGTCAGCAGAGGTATCTGGTTGGGCATTGGTGGAAGCCTGGGGGGAAGCCATGATGAAGAATTTTGGAAGGCTTGTCACTGGCATATGTCCCACAGTGATGATCCTCCCTTTATACCCAGCAGGTATGGATTCTCTTGAGCTGCTTTGCATGAACTGAACCTTATTTTACAGATAGATATAAATGGAGAACCCTGGTGGGACACCTGTTCATCAGAACTGATTCCTTTGACCCTGCTCCTAATAGCCTCTCCCTCAGAAAGGTGCGATTATCTTTTTCAGCTATTTATGCCAACTACTGGCTAACAATCACTTCCCCTACCTCTGATGTGCTCACAGATCCTATGACTGAAATCATTAGTGCCTGTGAGACTGGTTGCTATTGTCAGAATCGTTCTTCTGAAATTTTACCAGTGTTCAGTCTCACCGAAGCCAAAATAGACTCTTTGGGTCCATTTGTCCCATCTTTCTTTACTGTGAGGCAGTGAAGAGGCTGGCTGTGGGCACCTGTGGAATAGTGAGCGGGCTAAAAGGCAAACCTCAAAAACCCACACACACACTCACACAACTACACAAACTACAATCACCCTCATAAGTTCTAGGGGGAGCAATTATTTCTAATGCGATCCGACTATACTTCAATATCTCGAAGAGTTTCTCTTATTCTCAGTGCTCTTAACAAAGCTAAGCTTTCTCTAATGAATCCCTAAGTCTAGGAACTTTTACAGGAAGGTCGTTCACTGGCGTGATGCAACCTTCAAGGCAGATTTGAGTTAAAATACACAAGGGACACTGATCCTGACAGAAACAGAGGCAATACATGCCGAAACTTTAGTGAGCTCACTAAAAGAACACCACAGGCAAGCACTGACTTAGCCTGCTCACTACACAACTGTATGTAGGGGTTCTCCAACTAACTTCAACAGATGATCTCGACTCAAGAACACTTCAGAAGTGCTTGGAAACAGATTCAGAAAACGGAAACTCGAAACAGAACTGATGCAGGACAGACAGATCAGATCAGATCAGATCATGCTTTTCCTCTTCAGAACATACTCCAAATGGACTTATCAACACTCAATGGAACAGAATAGCTTCACTGATTCCTATTTGCTCAGAACTAAGTGCACAAAAAGTCTTTTCTCAAGGGTATCTCGTATTTCTCTGAGTGAGCTCGCTAACTCTATGCAAAGCTCAAAGTCACAAACTGATCCTTTGTTATGGTACTGCCTTCAACGTGTGCACAGGAACTCGGGGGCTCGAAACTTGGCTTCTACCTACTGTAACCAGCCTACTTATACTACAGGGGAATTAGAATTACAAATGTCGCGCAGTACCCAGACTCCTACATGCGTAGCACGTTGCCACCACTGCCTTACTGAGCATCCGAGTCAGACTTCCCAGTTTTAGTCTCATTTCTATAGTGAGCTCACTAAATGCATGCCAAGAGGTGCTCTCCTGACACCCACAGGCTTGTTCTCTAGCAACTGACAGGTCTAGGCACACGGAACTATCAGTCCTGGCATATGTCGTTCAAGACTTCTTTCTTGGATTCACAGAGGCTTCTCGTAGACACGGCAACAAGTGAGTCTTCTAACAATGGGACTCAGAACAATGGGACATGGGCTTGTGGACTTTGGCCGAAGCCCATTGCCCAAGTTCATGCCAGTGATATCTGTCATCTCACTTAAGGATTTCCCCGGATTTTCAGGTATGACACATCACAGTTAGCGAGCATGCTAAGTACTCTCAGTGTCACTGCAATCTTCAAGGTTTTATCTAGCTCCCACGAGCGTACTTGTAAGTTAGAGCCTAAGGCATTGGGTATAGGGTTTGGCCTTCTCATCATGCATGCCTGTCAGGTACAGTGCTGTGACTAAGTCCTGTTTAAAATCCCGTTGCTTCTTATGCCATAAGTTATATTCCATATCATTGCACTGCGTAGCATTAGTGTCGATGCATAGTTTTAGTCCGCTCACTCACTATATCTCAGTATGCATGTAAAACACTTTAGATTGCAAAATTACATGCGTAAATAGGCTGCAGTCACAACAGCAGGCTGGGGGAGTTGCTCTTGAGATTGAGCGCTCCCAGATTCTTCAGCACTGGGAGAATCATTTCCCCCATACCTTCTTGGCTCTGATGGATTTCCATAAGACCCCAGAGGATATGGCATATGTACACCACAAGAAGTTGGAGGTATGTTTGATTTCTCCATCTCTTACCAGTATTCATGAAAGATTTTCAGAAAATTGAACTCTTTCTCATCTGTATAGGATATCTTACAAAGGGCAACACCCCCGAAGATGCTCTTGAGAGCATTATGGCTGTGATCACTGACCTTGCCAATGTCATCAAGGACTTGGAAGCTCCACATCCTGTTGCCCACCTCTCCACTCCTGACATTGTTCCCACAGCCTTGATGACTATTGCAACACTGACTCTTGGTTCTGGCACTCTCGCTGCCCATCCTTCACCACCCTCTTCGACAGCAGTCCTCACAGACTTGCCATCCAAAGGCTACTATATGCATGCTCATGCACATGCAGAGCATACTCTCAACGGCAGTACCTCCGCTTTGGTAGGGCAAATGCCAGGTCCAGAGTGGGTGACTTGTTGATGAGCCTCTAGGCTCTGTATGCTCAGAATTTGCAGATTTTACCAGATAGCTAATTCCCCAGCCACCACACCAACCTACTATTTCAATCCTGGCAATATTGCTCAATGCCGCCAATTATCCTTCTCCACTTGTTCCCCACATCAATTATGTGCCCCTTTCATTAATTCTGCCAGTCTTCTTTCATTAATTCTGTCAGGCACCTTTCATTAAATCTGCCAGGCACCTGATGGTTGATCTCACGGATTTAGAATCCAGTCTGATTGCCTAGCACAGCCACAATTCCACAGTTCCAGATAGCAATTCCATGGAATTAGCTCTAATGTCATGACCTTTTCTCTGTCTTTACTAAGGCTGTTATTCCACCAAGAGAATGCCACACACATCTACTTCAGTACACTTGCTTCAATGTACTTTGCTGCAGCAACACAGCAGCTCAAAAATCCGGAGATCAGTGGCATTCTTGCTAATCACTTCATCTATATGCAGTAAAGCCATATGGGTGCTGTTACTTTCAAACCTTGGGAGCACGTGTTTTGTATCATTTCTTATCAATCTATATACTACAGACTTACTAAGGACTTGGTTCAAGTATGCTAATTTTATTCTGGTGATGTGCTCGGTAATGGCGAGTGACAAAAGGCTAGTGAATGGATATGAACACCACAACACCAAAACCCTCTACTACTCTACACAAATCACCAATATTATTGAGTTTGGGTGTTTCAAGTATGATAGAAGCACTCTGCAGACTTCAACAAATCAGGGAAAGGTTGTTTAAAGACATATATTTGGTACTAGTGAGCTACACAAGATGTATTACTTGCACTAGCAGGGTTTTAAGACACAATTGGATGAATAGTGACTTGGGTTGAGCAACTGTGCTCAGTCTAACTCTGATACTTTGAAACTAGTGGCACTCTGGGCCAAATACTGGGTCTCACAAGCAGTCTACACTTGACTAGCAGTGCCCTAGGCTCAACTAGTAGCACTCTTGGCCTAAGAACAAATACTTTAACTAACTTCAAAACACTCTGAGTCACTCCAAGATGGAATAGCAACTTTAAGACACTTCAATTTGTTCAATACTATAGGTGACTAAGCAACTAGTAGACACTTCATTGAGGTTAAGCACAAAAGCCTTTCATTGGGGCACTAGAATACTGACTAGTAGGTCACAATCATGGGGATGGCTTGCCTAGCTTGCTAGGCTGCCCCTTCTACTACTTATATACTACAGAGAAAGGTACAGGGTAACTATAAATAGATCCATAGGAGTAATATTGGTAAGAATATCTTGGCTAGTCACAAATAATAGTGAATAGTCATGCCATAGTCAGCCTAGGCTGGTCTTTCTGTTGGATAACAGGTCTAGGGACTCTGCTTATTGGTCTTTTCCATACCCTTTGCCCAACCATGCTCCACTAGTGATGCAGCTAAATGAATAGTTGGGCAACTGTGCCTGTAGCAACTGCTTGATCATGATCAGAACACAGCCCAGCTATACTAGTACTGATCGTATTAGATCTGTATCGCACTAGCTGGATCTGGGCTAAGGGTTATGTCTTTACTTATTCATTTCTAAGTCTCATCTGAAGTGCTCACGTGATTAGCTATCTTGACTTAGGCATTCATGCCCAGATCGGTCCACTAGTGACTGAATGGTCGAGGTCTGTGTGGGTTCTTGCTTCTTGTTTGGGTGCTAGCAGCTGCACTCATTACTAGTGGCCATATTTTACTGAGTCTCACTAGTTCAGAGGCACTAGTCCAGTCAGCTGGTAGGTCTAACCCACTATTGGTGTTGTCCCTAAGTTCTAACTCGACTAGTAGCATGCTAACTCGACTATTAGTTCGAAGCCTCAACTATAGCCCTTGTTGTTTAACTAGTATTGGATAGACATGCAATAGTATTGTTATAAAATCACAAAATCTAGGTGTGAACACGTAGACAGTGTATCACTGGGCACAGTACCAAACTGTGTGCTCTCCCAATGTGCTGACCTTCTTGCCCCACATATAGGACCTGTATATAGGGCAACATTTACCCTTAAGGAATACCCTGAAACATTCAGTGCAACAAACATGATTATTCTGTGAAAACCAGGGAAGCCAGACTATGAGGACCCCAATGCCCATCGACCCATTATTCTGTCTGACGGTTGGGGCAGAGGCCTGCATGCAACTATGAACCAGGACCTCGTTGCTTGGTATGAACTCATAGAACTACTCCCAGACAGGCACTTTGGGGGATGCCCGGGGTGTTGCACAACAGATTCCATTCGCCTCCTGGTCTCGACTATTAAAGATGCATGGCACAAAGGAGAAGTCATAACAGTTCTATTCCTTGACATCAAAGGGGCATTCCCAAGTGTAGATGTTGACATGCTCATACATAAAATACTAGCACTAGGCATTCCCACTCCATATATGGAATGGCTACTGAGGAGACTCAAAGGGTGCAAAACTATCCTTACCTTTGACAATTTCAAATCTATCATCTTCGATATAGCTAATGGCTTAGATCAGGGTGACCCCCTCTCACAGATTCTCTATGTCATCTACAACTCAAGTGTGGTAAACCGGCTCAAGGAGGATGAAGAAGGATGCCTATTCATTGATGATAAGGCCATCTTGGTACAAGGGAAAACATTCATAGAGACACACCAGAAGATCAAAGACATAATGGAGAGAGAAGGGGGCATCCTCAAATGGGTGAAGGAACACAACTGCAAGTACAGGATAGCAAAGTTCCAGCTTGTTGACTTTACATCAAAAACATGGGAGATAACTTCCCAACAAGGGAACAGCACCATGCACCGAGAACCAGATATAGGATCACCAATCCAGATTGGCCAGCACCTCATAGCACCAGAACCAGTTGCAAAGTTCCTCAGAGTCTACATTGATTCAGGACTGTGGTGGAAGGAGCAAGGCACAGCTGCCATAAAGAAGGCTGACAACTAGATAATCCAATTCTGACGACTTGCACACATGAGCTCAGGAGTCACCAGGGAAGGCATGCAGTTAACCTATATCTCCATTGCTATACCACGAATTCTATATGCTGCTGACATGTTTCTAAACCCACAGAGAAGGATGAAAAAGAAGAGGAAAGATGGGAAAAGTAGCATCTGCACTGTGAATTGTCTGTCCTCCATACAGAGAAAGGCAGCCATTCTAATAACAGGAGGCATGTGCACAACAGCTGTGGATGTCCTGGATATACATGCTAACCTTCTCCCCATGCAAGGACAAGTGGAGGTATATCACCACTGAGCACTTGCATGCATGGCATGCCTACTCTCAGGACACCCACTATACAGACCCATACACCAAGCAGCAAACAGATACATTAGAAGACATCAATCCTCACTCTATGAACTGACAAGAGACTTTGATATCCAACCGGACAGGACAGAGATGATCAAAGCAGTGCAGTTCCCACCATATTGGAGGTCAAAAATCAAGATTGAGATAGCGGAATCAATGGAGGAGGCAATGGCAATGGAGAGGGTAGACAACAGCGAGGTAAAGGGATATGGAGACAGGTCAGGTATAGATGGTGGTATAGGAGCAGCAGCAGTGGTATTTCATGATGGAAGAAGGGTGAAGACACTGAGACTGAGAGTAGGATCAGCTCAGAAGCACAAGGGGTATGACAGTGAGGGGCTGGCACTGGTCTTATGCATGGAACCACTCTGAAGCATGACAAACATGTGAAGTGCAACATTCAGCATTGACAACACATCTGCTATACAGGCAACAACTCTCTCATGACCAGCACCTTCCCATCACATCTTTGATCTATTCCACAAGCGTATTGACATAGTATTAAAGCAGCATCCTAGCATCTCCATCAAGATTCGATGGGTACCTGGACATCAAGGCATAGAAGGCAATGAAGCGATGGATGAAGAAGCGAAGACAGCAGCCCAAGGCAGTGTCAGTGAGCTGCAGAAACTCCCTGTGCCACTATGCAAACCAATCCCCTACAACAAATCATTGCTACTCCAAGTGTTCTACGTGAAGCAGAAACATCATGCTGACAGGGCCTGGAAAAAGTTGCCCCACTACTCCAGGTTCCAACATATTGACTCAGCAACTGCTCAGCAAGCTGCATGCCAGTATAGGAAGCTGGCCACTTTCATACCATGCAAAATTACGAGCATAATGATGCAATTATAGACTGGACACATTGGGCTCAACCATCATCTCTTCAACATCCAACAAGTTGAATCCCCTGCATGCCCAAAATGCTCCTACCTGAATGAATCTGTCCACCACTACCTCATATGATGCCCAGCATACCAGAATGAACGAGAAGTGCTACAGAGATCTATAGGTGTCCAAGGATCAGCAATGACAATCAAGCACATTTTAGCATGCCAAGAGAACATCCCCCACTTGATCCAGTACCTCAATGACACATGCCACTTTGAGGCAACATTTGGGACCTTTCCTTATGTTGAAGTAGGCAAAGAAGATATGGAAGACTAAAGTGTACAAAGAGATGGAACCAGCAAGTGCATAGTGAAGAAGAGAAGGTGATAGATCTTCTGCCTTACCACCCTGATGCCAAGGCAAATGGGAAGGTGATCATGATGTGGTTCACACTGAGCTCAGAGAAGCTTGTTTGTTAACATGCATAGGAATGTAGAACAGAAAAATGGACGAGATATAGATAAGTAGCAATATCCCACCATATGCTAGCATGTAGGATTACAGTACATCACATACCAACAGGATTCAAGAAAAAAAAGAAAAAGAAACTTCCTCATAGAAATAATAGATGGGATTTTGTTTCCCAACCTGGAATAGCAGTCAACATACACTCAATTTTTCCTGTGAACTTCACTTCCCTTACAGGTTTTCTGAGTGTTCCCAGTTGTAGCTGAAGATTTACTCAATGGTGAAGCATCACCATCATTGCCAGAGTCCTCGTCAACAATGTTACAGTGAGCCTTCTTCACTTGAGAGGTAGGTGCAGTGTCCTCATCATTCTCAACTTCTTCCACAGTAACACACTTCCATGGAATTGCCTTTGAGACAAGAACATCAGCAAGCTGTTGACATACTATGAGTGATGATAATACAGGAAGATAAAACAGTACACACCTCCTTATTTGTGATGTCAGGCTCTGATATCTCAACATCGGTTGCAGTCTCTGAGTCACTGCTAGCAGAAAAGTCACTGTCATCCAATGTATCATTCATGCTGGCTGTTTTTCCTGGTGAAATATACTATCAGCACAATGCATAATCTGCATGAAAAGTACTTGCCAGAGCACTTCTTTTTTCCTTTTCTCTTCTTGTTGTGATGGTGTCAAGGTCTTGTTGGCAGAGCTAGCTCTCCTTCTTTATCACGCTTCTCAGCATCTAAGAACTCTTTCATCTGACTGCCAGTATTAGCCCAGCGGGTCTGAGCTGGTACCAAATATGAGCATCTGATCACAAAGGGATAGCAAATAACAATGTACTCTTTGTCTTGCTCAAAGCAGCATCTGGTCCAGTTATTGGTATGGTATCATCCTTGTCAAAGAAGAAATTGATGCTTTTGGCAGGCTTGAGTTTTCTGTTTACATCAAGAGTGCACTGCTCAGAAGAGTTAGACATGCTGGGGAACTGGTGAAGGAATAGAAAGTTTTTCAAGCTTATATACAATATCTGTGGCCCTTCTAGCCTGTCAGGATGAAACCAAGAGTCAGGAAAAGACATAAGTAGTGGTCTTCCATCCTCAGAACTTGTCATGAACATGACAATGCAGTTTGACATGAATGGGAATTGGAATTGGCATGGTTCGAGTATTTAATTAGGAGTAGTAGGCCACATAAAGAGGTTGTATTAATGAGTAGTGAAGAAAATGTTGACAAAACAGCAAGGTATGAGGCTGTATTGTCCATTTAATACAATTTATCCCAGTAACTACAAGGGAACTGAAAGTACAATTTCTCCAGTAACTACTAGAGCTGTCAAAATACAATTTATAAGGCCCTGTCAAATTCTATTTACATTTGACATATTCTCAGTGAAATATATTCTGGACTTACTTTCAGCCATTGTATACCCATCATATGCTGCCTTGACTCCCATTGGCTGCCTGATAGATGTGCCTTGACTTTCCCTTTTTATCATGCTCTGTTTTTGTCTCCGATCATCAGGAACTACATCAATAGTATTCCCAGTCCGATAGTGGATTCAATTCTGGGGATAGTAGATGGATATGATGTTTTTTTTTAGGTATAAAATGTGCACTAATGACTCTATCATGACTATATTTAATGCATGTATGAACTAGTGAAAAAAGAACATTTTGAGTGGATTTCCAGAATTTGCCAGACAACCCCTAAATTGACTGTAGCAAGCAATAGATCACAATTGTACAGTCATGAAGCTCTTCCATCCCTCTAAAATCAAATATATAGTGTCTATTGGCATTTATATATCATGTAGAGCTTAGTTATCCATACATTCTCCCTGATTTGTAGATAAATATGAATTATAGTGTCAAATGCAAGTACTCTGCATCCTCATCCCATAGTACACATTCAAATGAGAATACAGAGTCAATAAAACCATAAATTTCATCTATTCTGAGTAGTATATATCTGAAAATGTACCTGCCCTGAAGCCATGATACAATTTTATTTTGGTCAGATGAAAGTGCACTGAGGGTGAATTTCTAACAGTTCTTCTAAGCAATGAAGTGAGTAACAATGTTTCTGTGAGAAGATCACTGTGGATCAGACACTTTGTTTGGATAGTATACTACATAATCTTGCATATGCAGCCCATCATATTCTTTTCTATGGTGTATAGAACAGTGTACAATGAGTATATGCTAGCAAATGAAACAAAATGCGGTTTTTCAACCGTAAAATGCATATTAATCAAGGCTGGAATTTGTTTAATATATAGGAAAGTATATAACTATACTGTATAATACAATATCATTACATTCTGATGATTCTCAGGCCTCCAGGGTGCAGGAATGGAGCAAAGGAGGCATCCCCAGTATTCATTCCACTCACTCAATTGCTCTGGTCCATGAAACCACAGAGTGATTGAGTGGCTGTGCCACTTCTTTTTCCACTTCTTCTCACCATACATGAGACAACGATGGTGGTGGCAACCAGGGAGGTAACAGCAATGGCATGAGGGGTGAGGAGGCCTTTAGCATGAAGCATAGTCATGAAAAATGGCAGCCAAGGGATGGAGTGAGAGAAAGTGTATTGGAGAGGTGCAGAAGGGTGGGAGCAAGTGATGGAGCAAGGGATGCGGATGGCAGGTGATGACAATGGAAAGCACATCTTTGGGATAGATGTGCCCAAATTCATGGTTGCATGATCACAGAAGCCCCTGCTGCTACCTGCCAATCAACATGGTAGCCACCATACACCTGCTCCCTATCCTGGCACCCGATTTTTCCTGCTTGGCAGTGCAATGATCCCCTTTTTTGTCCATGCCTCCCAATCACCGCCGTTGATATCCCCTGCTCACCAGCACCATATTTTATCTACATATCGAATGACTAAATATATTCCTTTACTCCATGTATCTACTTCTTAAATAATACAGTATTATTTTTATACAAGCCATGGGATGGGATCAGATTTTGTGAAAGGGAACAGGAAGCATGGGAAAAAGTAATCAAGAGACGATGCACATGGTTCCTATCACTGGCTGTGATGAGAAAGGCAGCCCTATAGTTACTGGAGAAAATGTACTTTCAGTTCCACTATAACTAGTGGAAAAATACATTTACCTGTCAGGAAGGGTTGAAGGTAGATAGGACAAAACAACTGCAGAAACATGTCAGGCCCATTGAATAATCAACAGAAGACAAAAACAGTACCTATACAGTCATGTCGAGCTAGTTGTGCATCATTCAGAGTTGAACTGTAGTCAGGTGCACCACCCTGAATGTGAACTGGGAAGGTGAGAAGTGCTTAACTGTGCACCCAAAGTGGGAAGAGGGAGGGAGGGAGGATGACATGGCAAAGTGGTGATTGCTTGGTAATTGGATGATTTGTGCAGAATGGTGCCATTTTGCATGATTTTCTCACCTGATATCTATGCAGATAAGGTCAAAACTTAAGCCATATTATGCCATCTGATGGCTGTATTCAAGACTCTCACACAGAAACAGAATAATCATCTACTATGCCATACAAAGGCACAATGGAGGGCATTCAGAATCGGCCCATATTCCATATAACGGTCACTGACAACCATACAATATGGTGACAGTGCCCAGCCCTAGTGACATCACATGATTTCAGACTTACTAATTTCAGGTACTGCTTCCCTTGTTGCCTTATCACTGCCAAAGCATGTCGCAGGCTGTATCTCCTCCTTTGACAAGCTGAACTTAGACTGGTAGATATGTCTTTGATAAAAAAACATAATACTATTTAAGTTGGAAATGGCTGACAAGTAGAAGCAGAACTCATCAGTTGATTTATGTGGCACCTCCAAGTCAATGACAATGAGATGAGCTTGGAACCAGAGCTGGGATTTATGCTGCAGAAAACTAATCATTAAGCTACTATAACCCAAAGTAAACCTTGGCTAGGTTTTTGGTTTTCTATATATCTTTAAAAACCCGAATGAGACATTTACAATGTCATATAATCCTGATTAAACTTATGACTGGTTTATTAGGATATATGATGCCACTTTATATTTGGATCAGATTATATAGGAAGTAAACTTTCATATGGGTGTGTAATCTTTTCTCACTTTTTGTGGTGCTGTGTGTGTGCTTACTTCTTGTTTGGGCACTAGCAGCTGTACTCATTACTAGTGACTGTATTTTACTGAGTCTTACTAGTTCAGAGACTAGTTCTTGTTGGCTGGTAGGTCTGACCTACTAGTGGTGTCATTCCTAAGTCCTGACCTGACTAGTAGCATGCTAACTTGACTATCAGTTCGAAGCCTCAACTATAGCCCTTGTTGTTTAACTAGTATAGGATAGACATGCAATAGTATTGTTATAAAATCACAAAATCTAGGTGTGAACACGTAGATGGCATATCAATGGGCACTGCCAGAGTATCACAAAGGACAAACTATGTGAAAGGTGTTGAACTCTACTGGCTGTGACCATATTAATTATCTGTGTGTGCAAGAATAATGTGAATATGTATGTAGTATTGAATACAATGCTGTACAATTGATGAACAAACGGAAAAAAAGGAATGTCAAGTAGCACACTTGCTTAATGAGCATACAGTTATTACCATCACCTGCTTGTCCCATGAAGAAAAACAAAAGCTACCATCAGCCAGATTCTTTGTGTTAAGCACTAACTCTAATCTGAACCAAGGCTGGTCTCTATCCTGTCACTCGCATTCGGTGATTCAGTGTTAGAGAGGCGTTGGTAGATTGTGAGAAGTTAGGTGTCACTTTATAGCGAAAGCAAGGAGCTTGTAAGAGTTAGGAGTATATAACCTTAGCCGAAGCTGGGGTCTAAGGCCACAGCATAGGCTAGCTTAAATACATGTTAGACTCATACTAAGAATAGTATCTACAAGGGCGCATGCAGCGAGAAGTGCGTCATTTAACGAATGAGGAGTGAAGACACTAAAAGAAGTGTACTCCTGATGAATGAGAGTAAAGAGTGCATATCACCTGCATCTGCATGGGACTCCGTCTGAATAGGCTGCATCCCGTAGATGGCCCTCGACTGGTGGTCGACTCTCGTCCAACTACTAAGAAGCATGATGGTGCATGCGGGTCATTGGTCATCTGGGGGCGGCAGCTGTGAACTGGGATGATGGCAACTGGGTAAATGGGTAAGGAGTGTGCTGGCAGAATATCATGGAACCGGGAGATAGGATAGGCAGGTCCAGGGTTCCGAGAGATAAGGATAAGATAAGATAAGGAAAATAGGGGTAACATCATAATAATACCCCCCGACTAAGACTGTCGTCCCGACAGTCCTTTAGATGTACTCACTCCCCGAGTCGAGGGAGTTAGTAGATTCCATATCTGATTCGTAGTCCTTGTTTTGTTCCCAAGCAGACATGCCCCGTTCTTCTAGGAGGAAGCTAGGGTCGGTCTGAGTCATTAGAGGAGACATGGAATGCTCATCTTCGCAGATGTCTTCATCCATGTCTGATGAATAAAAGCCCTGCTCGTCAATGGATAATGGATCGGTATGATTCCTGCTGGCATTTGGAAAGAGTGTTGAGCTCTCGGTTGCTGAAGAGCCAGGAGATGATATGGTTATGCATCCTCCCTCGTTTTCCAAGTGTTGCAAATCGTGATCCTGTACGTGGTCTTCCTTGTTCTCATATTCCTTGACGAGTTCTTCAGCATTGGCGAGATTGCTCCTCTTGACCCAAGTAGCTTCCTCCACCGGATATCCTTTCCATTTGACCAAATATTCCGTTATGGTCCTCCAGCTGTGTCCTCGGCCGATGATACGGTCGCGGTCCAGAAGTAGTTCTTCTACTTCGTATTCTTCTTCGCCTTCCACGAGTTCTGGCTCGGGTGGCAGAGGTTTTTCCTGGTTGGAAAACTCCGGGGGGACATATGGAGTTAGGTATTGTTTGTTGAATTTGTTGTGGATCTTCCATCCTGGCAGTAGCTTTAGTTCGTATGCGGAGGGC